GAATGTTATTAAGGGTTGTAAATATAATAAGCCTATGTCTAAAATGGACAACATTGTTAGGAGATTTAAACTATACAGCGATTCTGCACTGCGGTCAACTCAGCCACCTCTCGAGTTTGTTTTTTCAAATCAGTTGCTCTTCATTATTCCTGCTATATTTGACGAGTGATACACATATGTTTTACCACAAGTTCTTAAGGAAACTGACTCTGTTGGACTCGGTACTAGTTTGACTTCTACCAGAAATAAAGTAGCCTACTTTTACTGTGTACTTTGTGAGTAATCCTCTGTCAGAGTCCCCTCCATAGTAGCCTACATAATCCATGTTTTTCTGCTATCTTTGATGAATTATAAAAATATAATTTTACCATTAGTTCTTAATGAAATTGATACTGTTTGACTTTGTATTAGTTAGCCTACTACATACATTGAAGTACTTTTACTGTGTATTTTTTTAGAAATACTCTGTCAAAATCCCCTGCTGAGAACAAAATCAAGCCACTTCTGCTAAGTTTGATGAGGGAATTCTTTTTTGTTGCCTTTAGCTCTTCGTGAGATTGATCCTGTTGGACTCGGTACTAGTGAAACCAGGGCCGTATCAAGGATTTCTTAAATACCAAGGTCCAAACATACTATGGAGGTTCGGGGGATACCCCCCGAGATTCTTGGGATTTTCATGATCTAGTTAGGTGCTTTTTAAGTCCTGTGGGGGGTCACAAATTGGAAAATGTATATTGATTTCAAACCATGTCAGTGGACTGACATTGTCAGCATCAATTATTTTTGAAAGTGTAATGCATAAGAATCAGTTGATTGTTACTATTAATGATCTGGACATGCAGAAGAGGCTAAAATGATCACAAAACATTGTCAACATTCATTTTACATGTCTCTCTTTCCATAACCGGCAACCTCTCTTCCATCTTCTTTAGTCTCTCTGTCTTCTTCCTGTTCATTACTCTCTCTGTCCTCTACCCTTTCTTTTTGTTCAATCTCTCCCTCGTTGTTCACTTTTTGCTCCTCCTCACTTGTCGCTCCTGCCAGTGAGTTAAAAGCAATTCAGCAATTTAGTTCATTTCACTTGTTTGTTTGCATTCTTTTTAAAATTTAAATCTGTTTTGTTTGATTCTCAAAAGAGAACAAAAATGTAAGCAAATTGTGTTTTATACAATTGTATGTTATTATGACATCATAACTGCAATAGATGTATGTTGTTTTAAAAGTATGCCTATTGTCTATATTGTAAATGAATACTATTGTTATAGATAAATAGATGGATAGACAGATAGCTAGATGAATAATAGATATATAGATAGATGGGGTTATTAAGCCTACATTATTTTTGTGTGACTGTACCTGCAGTTCCTCCCTGACTTCCATCACTTTCTCTCTCTCTCTTTCTCTCTGCCTGTCCTGTCTCTTCCTTACCAAAGCTGAGCTTCGACTGACGTAGTCTTTTCATTATATCTGAGTCAGTGTAAAAAGAAAACAATACAATGTTATATCTCCATTGTTTTACTCAAATTGAAATGAAAGAAAAGCATTACAACGTTTGTTAAAAGGTAATCCTTCTGACATTGGATGAATGTAATTAACTTAGCTCTCTAGCTAGTTTATTCACGCAATTTAAACCAAAGTATAGCCTATAGCTGCAATATAAGTTAGTGTGCATGTTGTCGGACGTCCATTGACTAACGTAGAGCGTTCACACAGGATCTGCTGGTCATATGATGTCCTGATGAACAGAAACACAAGCAGCCCGCTGGACTCAGATCTCTAGATACATGATCACTCCTCCGCTGCTCCGATACAAGTCCGGGCTGCGGTGGTTTGTTGATACATGTCGTCTTCTTCTGTTTGCTTTAATCAAGGCTACGTAGTTATGCAGCGCCCCCATTGTCATTAAATGGAAGTACTACAAAGAACCCCGTTTAGTGCAATTATTTCACAAGTTTTGTATACACAGCTCGGAAAAAATTACCGAGGTCCGGACCTCGGTGACCTCAATGGTGGATACGGCCATGGTAGCCTATAGGCTATTGCAATTTGTGCCGGCACGACCGGCAGCACTACACCCCTGATCGTTTCACCACGGAGGAAAGCAGCAGCAAGTCGACTGCAGTTAAAGAGAGCGGGGCCTAGAATATATAATATATTATATATAATTATCCTTCTGCGCTGCGTTGCGTGCATGGCTTCCTTCTGCAGGTAACGGGAGACGCGCTCTGGCGGCGGTCTCGTTCAGGATTCGAAAATACAATTTAAATATGTTGCACACTTATTCCACTTATTCCTAGTGTGCCACTGGTTAAGGTGCCTAGGGTTGCCGACCCCTGATCTAGACATACCACTGAGGCAAAAAGGGAACCCTGGAACCTGTACGATTTTTACAATAAGAGGGGATAGAAGAAACTCAGTAAACCACTGACCCTATCCAGAATCCTAGAGCATCATAAGATTACACAACACGAGGATACCATTCTTCAGGCCTTTTCTCACTGAAGGAACTTCACACCAGCTGTTTTTACACTCAGCTATCTCCCTTACAGTTGGGGTCATTGTTGTGGGTGGATGAGATGAGAGAAAGGGCCAAGCACGATGTACTTAGTCCATTCTTCTTACTACAAATATAAAAAACTGTGAATCATGCTGCTAAGATGAAAAGGTGTTGTATGTGTGTGTGTAAGTGTGTGTGCGCCTGCATTCATCTCAAAGAGCCTCTGACCTCTGCATACACTTGCTTGGGGGACCATGAGATTCTAAGAAATGCAGCTAAATAAAAGAATAACGAACAAGCATCATCTCTATGCGGTATTTGCTTTGTATAAATTGATTTCGTTTTTTATACTCCTAAATACTCCAATGCCAGACAGTTAACTTATTTGTCACACTGGCCACAGTCTTGATCGTCTAATCATTAAGAAATTCTTTATTATTTAAGCTAATTTAAATTATGAATTCAACAATAATACTTAAAGTTCACCTATCATGCTATTTTTAGGCAATAGCATAGGTCTCAGATATATAAAAATATATAAAAAACATGTCTATGAAGTGTTTTGCTCAAAATACCAAACAGATCACCCATTCTAGCCGTGCCTCATATCCCTCTATTTCACTTCCTGTTTCAAAAGTGCTGATTTGGGGTATAAAGCTTTAAAAAAAAAAAAAGAATTGATAAAAAAAAGAGGGGCGGAGCTTATGCCTGCTCATGCGGGAGATTTTACCGGCAGATTCTGCGGTGATGAAACGCCATATCATGGATTATCAAGGATTATTTCTGAAACAGTATGGAGCTCAAAGGCTTTCTCTCTTGCCGGTTATACCACAAGGTGAGGTCCTTTTTATTTCCTGCTTCTTCACACACATGCTCTCTCCAGTACAGGTTAGCTCTGAGTGTTAGCGATGCTAATGTAAACACCGACCATATTACGTCCAAAACAGTCGGGCATTGTTTCTGATAGCAACGTTTCTGATAGTGCTGTGGGTCCACATTGCCGATATGACGTCATATCGGCCGCAAATCTGGATCAGCTCCGTTGTACCCCCATTTTTTAGAGATTTGGGTACGGAGGAAAAGAGAGAGGGTTTTATTTTTCACTGCGTGAGTCCCCCGACACACCGGGGACACGTCTCTATGTATAAAAGACATCAAAAAGTGCATTTTGATTGATAGGTCCCCTTTAATATAAAAAATGATTGATCCTTCCTGAAAGTAGATATCAACGCAATAACTATTCCGTATGTGCAAAACTTTCCATTGTGGAGCAAAATGACTTAATATTTAGCATAATTTCAACCTCGTCTACTCAATTCCACATCTCCTTTGTTTATAAGATCATTTAAAAAAACGCCTGCTGAGAGTCATTTATCTAGGTGCATAATTACCCCGTCACTTGTTATAATCTCAGCATCTACCCACAGAGAAAAAAGCCTCTTTGCAGGCAAACCATCTCCATTTAAACGCCTTTATTTACAAACAAAATGCCAGAAATAACTATATGTTTTTCAAGGAAGATATTATCTTATCACGTTTGTCGAGACCTTAAGGTTTTACATTAGGTCATTAATGTCCATTTTATATAAAGAAACATTCATACTCTTTTTTATACTTGATTTTAACTATTTATTTTTGAAAATCTGATGTTTTCTTTAGAAAATGTATCTTTCTTTACTGTATTTCCAGTGTTTTGACTTGCAGGCATGTACAGCCCTCTTCATCTCCGCCACATAACCTCGGCACATGAGCCGTGATCAGCCACCCACACAGAACCTGTAACACTGAATACACACATATGCAAAAACACAGCTCAGAAGTCTGTCGTTCAGTATGAAACTCTGAACCTTGTGGAGGTGTAGAGAGATAGGAAAGCCAGTGATGCACACAGTGGAGAAAAACAAGTAGTAAATTATCTGAGAAACTTCTGCTCCTACAGCCTAAAGCATAAACCGTCATGTCACTGGTTAAAAGAACATGTCTGTTATATATTATAAGTTGGAAAAAATGGTGCAAGAATTATGTACACAGTGAAAATGGGGGTGTATCGGAGCACACCATTAATATCGCACCATTAGAGAAGAGTTTAAGGGGAAATGTAAGTTAAGGAATGTGACGATGAATACTCCAATCCAGTTTAAGTGGCTCATGAGATAAATGGCTCCCACATTTGATCAAGTGTAGACACCAAAATAAAGAATCCACTTGGAAGTTCATTTTATCTTGGGTTTTTTAAAAGTCTTGTTACCATTTTTGTAAGATGCATAATTCTACATTAAATTGCATTTTGTATATCAATGATCTACACCGCGGTTCCCAACCTGTGGGCCGCGGCCCTAGTGGTATGCGAAGGCATTGCAAGTGGGCCGCCAAATTATTATTATTTATTTTTTGTACAGGCTAAAGACACAAACATGGACATAACAATAACAATAACATATAGGAGATGACATTCCCATCTCAGACAAAAACAAAACAAAAACAGAAGAAATAAAGATACAGTTAGTAGGATCACTTCAACATTTCACAAACAAAAATAGTTTGACAACCAAAAAACACCAAAAACACAACATGGCAAGCATATTTATTGTTCCTTTAATCCAACTCTTCTTTAGAGCTAATTATTTCCCATTTCATGGTGTGTTGAGCCTTTGATTTTTTGTGGCAATAATTTCTTCTAAAAGAAATTGTATTTTTAATCTACTCTTCAAAACACATTAATATTACTCTTTGATTGACTTTTAAAAATATGTATTTTAGCCAGAACAATAGTTGTATTTATTAACTGTGTGCGGTCCTCATCTAAAAGCCTAAATAAAATATTAAAGGGTGTAAATGTAAATTCAATATGTGCCGCCAAATCTGCAAAATATTATGATTTGCGTGGAAACATTTTCATTATTAAGATTTTATTTTAAACTCTTTTCCTTTCTCTTTCTTGATCCTCCTTAGCAACGGTCATTACAGTCCTTGACAACGGTCTGTTCTATTGGATTTAAAACGTGTCACATGTTCTGAATCGACCAATCAGAACTTTATTTAGCCTCCGTATTGTTTATGGTTGAATGTGGGCCGCGCATTTTTTATTCTTAAGTGGGCCCTGAGTTGAAAAAGGTTGGGAACCGCTGATCTACACAGTTATGGGATATAGGCTTTAGTGACACTTGTAATTTAGTAACATTAACAGGAATAATTTGACCTGCCCCTATCCATCATAACTAAATGGCCT